CTTAACAAAATTGCAATAGTCTTGTCAATTCTTACAATTTTATGGAATTTAGCTGAAGGTGTAGTCTCGGTTTTTTTTCGGTGCAGAAAATGAATCAGTCAGTTTGGTCTTTTTTGGTATTGATTCTTTCGTTGAAGTGACATCTTCATGTGTGGTGTTATGGAGATTTTTGAAAAAAGTGTCAGACATTCATGAAGAAAATCCTATGGAAAACTTAATAGCTATTGAAAGAAAGGCAACATTTGCAATTGGTATATTGTTTGTTATACTTGCAATTGGAACATTTGCGGACGCAATTGTTACTTTGGTGAAAAATGGAAAACCTGATACAACTATATCAGGTCTAATCATTTCATCGGTTACAATATTTTTCATGGCACTTCTTTGGCTCATGAAATTCTCAATTGCTAAGCTACTTAATTCTTCAACAATGATGTCTGATTCGAAGTGTACTCTATCCTGTATACAAATTACTCTTGTTTTATTTCTCAGTAGTCTGATTTACTCTGTTTGGAATGATGGTTGGTGGATAGATTCTGTTGCTGCTTTGATTTTAGGTTTATTGTTTGCAAAAGAAGGTATAGGAATGATTCTATGGGCAAAGAGTAAAGATTTCGATGGTGGCTGTTGTAAAAATGACTCCATCAAAAATAATAATCGTGATGCTGATTCTAATTGCTGTAATGACTGTAATGACGAAGAATGTAAAATCACAATAACATCTGAAAAAATTGTCGACAATGACAATATAAAAGAGGAGGGTCAATGATATTAATTATTCAAATATAAAAGAAAACATCAGTTTCAAAATTTAATATTTAATAAAGTTTTTTGTGTTAAATAAAGAAATAAGCAGTAATTACAATGCAATGTTTACTATAATTCGGGGTAAATAAGAGGATACAAAAGCCGGGTCTATTACGCCTCCCCAATTTTAAAACTTTTACTAACACTTCTCTCTCCTTATTTACAAAAATATAGGCATAATTTATAGTACTTACCTCTATCGTTCATAGATAAGCACGTTTAATGTATTGGCTTTATACTACTGGTATATTCTTTAAAAAAGATAATATTTTCGAATTGACATTTCAATAATATTTTGGGTACGGTGAATCTGATTTTCCTCAGAATTCTCCATAGGGACACAGAAAATATTGATTTATTTATTAATATAGATCGATATTTTTAGGTAATATAAAATTTGGCCGCCTAAAATAGTAAATAGCATAGGGTACAAGCAGTTCGAAACTTCCTGATTAGAAAATCAATGAGCACAAGAGACGAGTCAAAATTGATGTAAAGTTCCGGAATTATTCGGCTAACAAAGTATAGAGGGTTGATCACATTATACCAAAAGCTGCAGTATGATAAGTTGTTAGTTGGCCGACCAGGGCAAATCGATATAGGGTGTTACATATTAAACCAGTCAATTTTTACATATAAACTAGAACATATTCATGCAGGTGGCTTCGCCGCCCATGGTAAACAATCAAACTTGGTTGGTAGATTACTAGATTTTTATACTTTATGATAATGGTAAACCAATTTTGAAGTATAAAACGTAGATATTTGTGATTTACAAACTATTATATTTTTTAGAAATATTATATTCATAACACCCATGTTATATTAACACCTATATAGTTTACTTAGGATTAGGGTCCAGTCTTAAGATAAATAGATGTTTTTTATTGTACAATATATATTATACATAAGGACCCGATAGGTCCTGATTTCAGTTCTCGTGAGATTTTTGGGGTCCTGAACATTTTTATTTAGAGTACCCGAACCCGTTTACTTAGTACATTTTTGAGATATTGATTAAGGTGTTATATAACACGGTGTTATGAATATAACTTTCCTATTTTTTATTATGTATGTATTTTACTTTCTAGTTAAAATATAACATCATTTTTGTATCTCTGGCTGGGTTTTTAATAACTAATAAAAAGAAATCTTTTTTAAGAAATCGTTGTTAAGGTTACTAGTGCATGAAGTTAAAAGACGCAATTTACATTTACTGCTAATCGTATATCAATTTTGAAATTAGAATAAATTTGGTTTGGATGGTTATTTTTAAAATATTTAATTTATTTAAGTG